GTGTTCTGACGATCTATGCTGCATTGCTGAAAAATGCTACTATAGCGCAAATTGATAGACTGGGCTCTACTCGGCCCTGCTCCGTTTTCCATTGCAGATAGTACCCAGAGATAGTACGTAGCTTGTTGTCATAGCGATGTCACACACAACTGCCGCGACGTAATGTTCAATGCGACACACACACCAGTGATCCACACAGATTTCTCTTTGTAAAGTTAAAACGTTTCAACATTCCTCAGAATGTAAAGACAGATAAGCGGTATGAAAACCTTCCAGCTGTGTTTTCCTCTGCCGTTGTTGCTGCAGCGGTCTGTGTGACGGCGGGAGCAGAGGGCTCTGTTAGCGGGCGGCTGGCCGGCCTCACACGCTCCTCCTGGTTGGTATAGGCTTCCCCCGCAGCCACTTGCGGAGCTCCTCAACTCCCAAAATATTCATCACATTTTTGTTCCGCCATCACTTCTCGTAAAACTGTCAATATTGGAAATCTACACAGCTGATTTCTCACCTCAAAACTTCTCAGAAGTGGATTTAGTGATGAAATTCCATACGAAAACTGTAAAATATAAAACTTTGTGGTGCTGGCCTGTGTCTGGTGCAGCAATGATGATGCAATGAATAGTGAATATTCTCTCTGACCAATCAGCAGACTGTCGTGTTTTCACGTTACATTTTAGTATCCCTCAGCTCGCTTGGAACCTCAACGGAGGTGAGGTGATACGAAAAAAAGTACCTGGAAGCAGGTACAGGTGCAACATTTCTACAATGGATATATTGTGCAGTGGAAAAGGGGCTTAACTAAAATCCAAGGGCCTCTGCTCAGACTAGCTTGATTTGAGGGCGTGCCTGACCCCGCTAGCCGCTTGGCAAGCTTTATGACGCGTTTTCATTGTGACGTCATAGTGCAGGAAGGGAAATGGCTGGACTACAAACGAGCTGTTTTCAAGCAGTTCAGAGCAGAGCTTTCTGTGGCAGATGGAAACTCCCTTTGGGCTGGACTTTGAGCTTTTTCACTTTGCAAACCTGTTCCATGCACAAAAAAGAAATATAACTCAATAAAGGAGAGGGGAAAAGCCAAACAGCATAATACCACCTCTTTAATTGCCGCCCAGGGATATTTAAATAAACCCATTTTAGCATTTTGCAGACAAACACAGAGAGAGATGTTATATATTACGTTACAAGACGCAGACACGGTAGATATTTCACAAGCATGGACCATGTAAAGCGACAGTGAAGTGAACACACTGCAGTTGCCAGTGCAGATGTCATTCGTTATCCACCACGTCAGTTTCATTTTCTAAAAATCCCACATTTGCAGAATTTACAAGAGGGGAAAATAATAATGAATTTATTGTATACACAGCAATTCACTATGTTTATAAAGTTTCCCCTAACTCACAATACTCCGTAATAATTTTAAGAGAGTCTGTCATCTCAAATGACTCACAGAGATCTCAATGAGGATAACGAGAATGAATTAAAAATACATTGTGTAAACACAAAGGTAATATCGTACCATTAATATCCGGGTATCTATTCAGATACATTGCATTTTAATAAGCAGTTTCACAATACTGTCACTTTTTTTCCAAAAGTTAGAATGTACTCAAAAAAATATAGCAATAGCAATAAATAGCAACCCACATTGGGCATGCACGCATAGAGAACAGAACTGTTTGCGGTAAGTGTGCTATCAGCAACAGACCAAACACCCGGACAATGCCTTTATCATAGGCGGTGTTTTCAACCATACTAACCTCAGGACTGTATTCCATCAACATTTCTCCTGCTCAACTAGGGGACACAACACTCTGGACCACCTTTACACTAACATCAAAGACTCATACAAGGCTACTCCCTGCCCCTACTTTTGGCAGTCCGACGACCTCTGTTTGTTCCTGGCTCCAGTTTAGAAACACCAAGGCGTAGGCATAGACACAAACGTTATTGTTCACGTACTTGCCTGCGTACTTTGCGTGGACCTGGACGATTAAATGTGAATTCACTAGGAGGCCACCACCAGATTATCTTCCTTGAAAACCTCTAAAATTGCACATCGTAAACAAACCAAACATAGCGACACTCGAGGACGGTGTGAATTTGAGACCAGATCATAACAATTTCGGTAATTGCGGATGAGCTCCAGGAGTTTTATTGTAAACATCCCACAATAAATCTCCTTTTAAATCTGCTGTTAACCTCTTTTGCATTTAATGGCAGTTGGCAAGCCAACTGCATACCACCACCACCTGGGCGGGTGTGCGGAACAGTAGATTGCTGCTAACCTGCCTGTCAGATCAACATACTGCCCCCATGCTCAAGTGCTGAATTGCATCTTGCGGACGCAAAGCGTTCGTTTCTAGAGATGTGCACAACCTACGCTCCAGAGGAACGCAGGATATGCGTCAGCCATCTTGCATACACGAATGTGTAGTTAAAAGCAAGTATATCCAGGGCTTTACTGTTTACTGCCATAGGGAGCAGTCTCTGAACTCCAAAACAGTAAATTCTGACAACAAACTGGAATACTTTTGCAGTACTACAGCACAGCCAGAACCAACCTCCAAAACTGCATCAGAACGGCTAAACCTAACTACATCCTACATAAAGAGGACCACTTACACAACAACTACAACTCTCAGCCCACGTGGCAAGACATTCAGACTGTAAAGTTCCAATACCCATTCCACTACAAACAATGCCTCACTCCCAGATGCGCTATGAGTTGCAGCCAGTTTGTGACACAGTGGTAACGTAGCTGGTAGAGTTTTGCAATAATATAAACATCTAAGAACTGAAGCGCAACCCTGCTTTGTTTGGGATAGTGAGCTGCACTTTATGGAAGTTAACACCTCTTATAACCTGCTTAGAACAATGACTGATCACAGTCCATTATAAACCACACATTAGATAAAGTTTATACAAACATTGACAAGGGAAACACAATAATTCTCTGTGATTATGGACCCTCGCCAAAACTGCCCACCAGCAATAACATCTGGCCTGCTGCCAGATTACAGCGCTTTCATAGTAAAAAATATAAATAAATAAATGCTTTGATGTGCTGAAATAGATCTCAGACATGGCAGCAACAGTTACTCACATAATCACTTCCTCTTTAGGGGTTTTACCTACAAAATAAAAGCACGAGAATTTGGAGTTGAACTGAGCTTTTACTTTGAAAAAATCTGAACGACATTAAGAGTCTGATTGCTTGACACACCTCTGAAAGAGCTGTCAGAAAACATGATTCCCCTAAATGTCCTCTGCCTGGAGATACTTGGGAAATGCAAAAGCATCCATAGGTTGATGGATGAGGATCAAACATCGAAACACATACACTGCAGCACATGCTGTAATCTTAGAAACATTCGCTGCAGAGAGAGAAAAAAAAATTGTCCCGAGGTGAGAGTCCAGCGCTTTACTGACTGAGCTAACCGAACAACATAACAATAGCATCAAATAATTATGGCTTATATTCTCACCCACCATCTCATGGTTGAAAATATTGCTCTGGTGCAAAACGTATTTGCCAACCCCTGCAGTATTTTATTACTACTACTACTTCTTCTAACGGACATATTCAACGTAGTGATGAGTGTCTACACTGCCTGAAATCTACTAGAAGTAGAACAAGAAGAACGTGTGTCCGTTTTCAGCTACTGTAGTAACATGACGACGCAACGTGCCGACGTCCATGGAAGGGGGGACCTGGGCTTTTGTAGCTAGAAATGATTCATTCTAAGGTAATAAAAACATAACGGTTCATTATGTAAGGTCTTTATACACCACTGAAAACATAGTTATGGATCGTAAATTGCATTTCTGTCAATAGATCATAAGAAATATTACACACTGAACCATTAAGTGTTTAATGCTCAAAATTGTCATATAATTCAGCATTGAAGAGTTAAAGTGTTAAAATCGTCTTGTCATCTAAATGGCTCATCGCACCCCTAGTTAACAGCAGACACCAGCTGATCCAGTTCAAAGTTGTCCACATGTCTTTACTATTATAAATCCAGGTTGCCCAAGATTATTTTGATCTGTTTGACATCATTTGGCTCTGCCCTTCACTTACTACATTCTGGCCCAAAATAATAGATTGGAACTCAAAGGCCTATAAAAGGAAGCTGGAAGCCATCTATGGTTCAGTCCATGCTGTGCTTTCCTACAGCCATGCAACAGTCCTTGATGCTGGGTATGACTTGTCGCCAAAAGACTAATTTTGAGGTAATGGAAATCATGCTCTCTCCCTTCCTTCCAGAGATGGAAGGCTCACATGAATTCAATCATACAGATGGAAAGACTTGCTTACCGAGACAAGGCCAGAGGAGGATGAGTATCTCAACCAGCTAATTTCTCCTGGTCCTTGTTTGACAACTCGTAGCCGTTTACTATTTCATGAGAACTTTCCATCAGAGCACTTTTCTGACTTTTACTCTTTAAATTGGGAGACACAAACTATACAGAAGACCAAATGGAGTGACCCAAGTAATTCTTTCTTGACTATTCGATCTCAAAGTTGTCTCACTGTTTGTAAAATCAGAATTTGCTGGCTTTTCAACAAAAATCATTAACTCTCTTGTATTTCATCATATTAGATTTTGGGAAATCATTTTACAGTCCCAATCCAAATGCTAGATTATGAGAAAAGTTTTCTTTCTACTGCGAGAGTTAGTCTAGTCAGCAGGCCATGATTTACAAAAAAAAAAAGAAAATGGGCAGAACAGATGACAGGAAGTTAGAGAAATGGAGCGGGGGAGGGGCAAGACAAGAGAGGGAGAGGGAAGCTGGAAGAAAGTGGTAAAAGTACAGAGGAGTGTTTATATCACAGGGACAGAGCGAGGAGAGAAATTTCAGGCTCTGAGTCCAACTCCCTGGGCCCCTCGGTCCTACAGAAACAGAGTTTAGTCTCCCTCAAAGTTTTCACTGTATGAAGAGCACAGTGGCTAAGCACACGTTTCAACATCATGCTATGGCAGTAAACGCAGCGTTACCTTTCTGTTTACTTCCCCGGCCCTTCAGTTCAATGAAACATCAGTTTCTGTTATTTTTCTGCTTTCCTGTGGAACTGAAGCGATTCATCGGGCTGCGGAAAACGTTACAATCCTAAAAGTGGCTGCTGCCGGTCCGTTGTGAGGCTCTCTGCGGGGTTTAATCCTTTCTCCTGGAATAGGAGCCTTGAAGCGGCCGCAAAGTCTTCGTCCCTCCTCGTAAAATTCATGTTTAGCCACATAAAAAAAGAAGCTGTACAGGAGAAGTGGCACGAAGCTCCCCCCCCACCCCCCTGCTAGTCTGCAGTATGAGAGGAATGTCCAGCCTCCCCCCTTCCTCCAGCTAATGGAAACTGGAGGAAAGAGGGGGGGTTTCAGCAGGGAAATCCCTCCTCCTCCTTCTTCTTCTCTAGACTGTTTTTAATCGTATAAATCTAATTATTATAAAACAAATACATTGTTATAACAAACAGTAGGCTATGTTTTATTTGCTGTTTTTATTGTTTGTAAACCAAACTGCCCCTGAGGACAAAAAGACTGCCGAGTCCTATCAAAAGACGGAACTAAAGGTATAAGTAAGCACAAGATTAGAGCCTACCCGGGTGGAAAAAAAACACTTTATAGTATTTCAAACATTTTAAAATTTTTAATAGTACATTTTAAATATACTAAGAAAGAATTGTACTGTATACTAACTTTGAACACACTTTAAAATAATTGTACTATAGTACACTTTCAAGAAATACATTATATAAAAATATACTTTAAGTTAAAGTTATACGTAAATTCCAAAGTGTACTATTTCAACTTTGTTTTTAAACATATTTTTTGTATATTTGAAAATGTATGCTCAAAATTATTAGTGTAACAATGCACTGAAAGCCTATTTTAAAAATAACCACTTGAATATGCTAAAGTTTTAGTATATTTTAGATATGTGTAATTACTAAGTTAACTTATTCATGCTTGTATTTCAGTGCATTTATTACTGCAAAAAATGCACTGAAAGCCCTTTTATATTTTTTCAACTAAGTACACAAATAGCTACTCGTGAAAAGTAATGTTTAATAAGATTATATTGGCAAATAAGTGTCATGTTAAAATACATCTTACACACAAACATGTCAAACAAAACATTAAACTTCAAAAGTACAGGTGCACACAAGAAAATTGAGTTTTCTGAACAGTAGTGTTGTGTCGTTCAAAGAACGTTTCGTTCATAAGACCTAATCGTGTGTATGACTCGGGAGGAACGGGTTTTCTCAGTGAGTGATTCGTTCATTTTCTCGCATGCGTGAAGAATCTTGGACTCTTATGTTCACCCGTCACACGGCAGCTGCATGGGCTCCGTCAGCACAGGAAACAGAATTGATTAGTTCACGACTCTCAACTGTGGGTCTGTTAGAGTCATTAATTTGTCACGTAACAGCTATTGTGGAGCAGGAATGAACCTCGTTCACCACTCACATGGGTCCTCCTCAGTCTTTCGTTCACTCAGCAGGCTGAGTGACTGCCAGCGCCGGAGAATGAGAGGCAGGTCGGCCATCAGGTAACAGTCACTGTCATCAAGCTTATAACTTCAATATATTTACTGCAAATCTGATGATGAATGTTAGCAATTATATACATAAGCCTTTATGTGGCTGGTCTGGTTGTATACTCGGGAAAGATTGTGAAAATGAGAGGATTTAGGCGGAGTAGTGGATTGCATATAGACATATTTCTGTGGTTTTTACATGGTTTGAATTTGGTTGTGGGCCCAGGGGGGTTTATATAATGATGATATACAGTAATCAAGAGGTGAATTTGTGCATTATACTTTGTCAAATAAAGCAAGCCAGACAGCCTTCCGTGTTTGAGAACGGCGCTGTTTTTTAATCCCCACTATAGGGCTGCAGTGCCACAATAACCAGCCTTGTTCAAATGAACATCCTAGCCTAGCTCACTCACGCGAATGCAGGTTTGCTAGATTAGCAGGACACAGTTTAGTTCCAATTCGGCAAGGAGGAAATGCAAAAGAAAATGTGAGAGACCGACGTCGTGGAGGCAAAAAAAGCCGTGCTTGTAATATATATTTATATTTATATATATTTGAAAAAGTAACATTAGACTACATGTTACTTGTCACGCTAGCTCAAATATTGAGGTAAAGTTGCTAGCTTGCTAAACGTCCAGCTGCTTTCTTGGGAGGTAGAGGACTTAACATTATGTACAGTATGTCAGTTTTTGGGCTTAATGCAGTTTCTATCACTGTCTTTTAAAGACTGATTTGTTTTCATGTAATTGTCCACGGGGTCATTGTATTACCTATAAAATATCATATCTTGATAATGCACACTTAGATGATTTTCATATGTTTACAAAAGGTATTTGCTGTTATTTTATTTTTTTATGCAAACAAAATGGTAATTGTATTTGTACTTTTCAATATAAAACTTGGTGAAATGGTTTCAGTGTGTGTATCAGTACATTTTAATCCAACGAAGGTTAAAATCAAGGGCAACTGGACTTGGTTGAAGATACTGGAAGACGTTTCGTCCCTCATCCAACGGACTTCTTCAGTTCTGACTGACTGGCAGGGAAACTCAGCTATTTAACCTCAGTGGGGTCGTTGGCCCGGGTCATCGATACCGCTGGTTCTTGTTGCTGTGACGACAGTCGTTACAGTCGTTAAGACTACCTGTGGCCAAGACTGAACGACCATCGTTGCTATCTTCACCTGAGGCCAATAGGTTACGTTTGTTGAGTTTCCTGGGAAGTGATGAAAGGACAGCATTGTAAGTGGGGGATAAGTGGTGGCGTAGACCCCCTCCCCTGTTCAATGACGGCTTCTCAACCCTGGTGTAGATGGCTTCCTTGACGCCTCTTTCAAACCATCCATCTTCTCTGTCTAAAATGTGCACCTGGTGGTCCTCAAACGAGTGTCCTCTGTCCTTCAGATGTAAGTAGACTGCAGAGTCTTGACCTGAGGAGTTGGCCCTTCTGTGTTGAGCCATGCGTTTGTGTAGTGGTTGTTTAGTCTCCCCAATACACAGGTCTGTACATTCCTCACTGCATTGGACCGCATACACTAGATTGCTTTTCTTGTGTTTGGGTGTGCGGTCTTTGGGGTGGACCAGCTTCTGTCTTAGTGTGTTCTTGGGTTTAAAAAACACAGGGATGTTGTGTTTGTTGAAAATCCTCCGTGCGTTTGACCTTCTTTTCCTCCTCCCCTGTAGTTTTGTTCTTCTTGGATCTTGTGGCTGTTTTCACAAAGGTCCATTTAGGGTATCCACAGGCTGTAAGTGCCCCCTTCAGGTGTTTCTGTTCCTTCTCTCTGGCTTGGGCTTGAACTATGAAACTATGAACTTGAAATATACTAATGATTAGTCTGACTACAAGTACACTCAAGTATGCTAACATTTAATACACTTAACATATTTATTTTTCACTTGGGTAAATATGAAATCAGACTGTGTGTTCTGTGGTCACATTTCTATCTAATTTTATATCCTTGCTTTGTGCCTGTTTTAAAGAGCTCTTTCTAAGAATAAAGCTAAAAATCTGACAAATCTGACATGAGGGTGAGTTAAAAAATGACAAAGTAAACAGGAACATTCATGTCGGTGTGCAGTCTCTTCAAGTGATATGATGTCAGAAGTCCCAGTATCACAGAACCACAGTCAGTGAAGCTCAGGAGCCCATTACTTTATTCTGCTTTGGCTTAGGAGGTAGAGCAGGACATTCACTAATCAGAAGGTTGGTTGTTTGATGCCCAGCTCCTCTGGTCTTGTCCCTGGGCAAGATACTGAACCACAAATAGTGTGTGGATGTATTAGTTATGTTGTGCAGTTTGCACCTTGCATGCCAGCATCTGCCATCATTGTGTGAATGTCATAATATGTGAAAGATGTCTGTCTAAATTTAAGGATGCGATTCCATCAGCTCTAAATTCATTATCAGATCACAAAGTGCTAATTTCAGTCCCTCCCAAATCGATCATCTTGTTCATAGTGCTGCAGGCTCGCTGCGAATGACACTCGACTCTGTTGCCCCTCTAAAAAAGAAAATAATAAAATAAAGACGGTTAGCTCCATGGTATAATACTGAAACTCGCAAATTAAAGCAAATATCGCGGAAACTTGAGAGGAATTGGTGTTCCACCAAACTGGAAAATTCTCGTTTAATTTGGCAAGATAGTCTTAAAACCTATAGGAAGGCCCTCCGTAATGCTAGAGCAGCGTACTACTCGTCATTAATAGAGGAAAATAGGAACAACCCAGGTTTCTTTTCAGCACTGTAGCCAGGCTGACAGAGAGTCACAGCTCTATTGAGCCAAGTATTCCCATAGCTCTCAGTAGTTACGACTTCATGAGCTTCTTTAATGATAAAATTCTAACTATTAGAAACAAAATTCACCAAGACCTGCCCTTAACTGGCACCAACTTATCTCTAAACTCAGGAACCTTAGAAACAGCTGTAGAACCAGATATATGTTTAGACTGCTTTGCTTCCTCAATCTTTACCAACTAACTTCAATAATTTCTTCATCTAAACCATGAACCTGCCTCTTAGACCCCATCCCGTCTAGGCTGCTTAAAGAAGTTTTACCCTTAGTCAGCACTTCTATACTAGATATGATCATTCTGTCTCTATCAACAGGCTATGTACCACAGAACTTTAAAGTAGCTGTAATTAAACCTCTTCTGAAAAAGAAAACTTGATCCAGATGTTTTAGCCAACCTAGACCTATTCTCCAGGATCTCTCTAAGGTCCTGGAGAAAGCAGTTGCTAAACAGCTGTGTGACTTTCTACAGAGCAATAGTTTATTTGAGGATTTTCAGTCAGGATTTAGAGCTCATCATAGCACAGAGACGGGACTGGTGAAAATTACTAACGACCTCCTTATTGCATCAGACAAAGGACTTGTCTCTGTACTGATTTTATTAGATGTTAGTGCTGCATATGATACCATTGACCATCAGATCCTATGGCAGAGACTGGAATATTTCATTGGCATTAAAGGAACCGCTCTAATCTGGTTTAAGATTAGACATTAGACTTTCTTGGTCCTATTTATCAGACCTATTTCAGTTTGTACATGTTAACAATGAGCCCTCCATGCATGCCAAAGTTAGTCATGGAGTTCCTCAAGGATCTGTCCTCGGACCAATCCTCTTCACTTTATATATGCTTCCTTTAGGCAATATTATCAGGAAATATTCCATAAACTTTCATTGTTATGCAGATGACACAGATGAAGTTATTGTTCTGGGGAATCTTGGAGTTATCTTTGATCAGGACATGATCACA